AGTATATGAAACATCGTATTAGTGGGGCAGATGGCCACCCAATGATCTCGTATTGAACCGTCGGATCGCCAATCAAGATTGGTTTGGACTCATCTTCTCATATTTGGATGCTTGGACCTGCCTAGGTCGCGTCTGGGTCTAGATCTGGCATGGACCCTATCGGGTTTTGTCGGACCGGGTTGAGTCGACCTGGTAGGAAAAAAATAATTAATATATATAACATATATATTTTCACTAAATTTTATTTATTATCATTTTGACTAGAATAAAACATATATATTACATAGTATAGAACTTAATGTTTTTAAATTTTTAGACCCGGGTCTGGGTCCATGTAAGCCTAGCTAGGTAGGTTCCAGATCTGGGTTGGGGTCCAATTGACACAAAACCCTACCCCACCCATAATCTTCGTATCCTATAAATTATAAATATAAGTCATAGCTCAAGAACCCACCCAAAAAGGTTGTCTTTAATGTTTGAAATTTTTTCAAGTGATCATCTCGACCTCAACATATAGAACTATGAATAAAAGATTTTAAGTCATAAAATAATGTATTCTATAACAAATTATCTGGACCTGTCTATTTCCAAAATGGTTAGTCTGCTTAATTCTTGGAACTTTATCGTTCGTAGTTACAGGTTAGCATACATGTATTTATGTCAAAACTAGGTCTACATAAATCGATGGATTGCATGTTATAATTTGATGGAGCATGATGAACCTATTGCATTTTGAATATTTATAATCACATACTTATGTTAAATAGACGTGACTTGTGTAATTTTGTTTACATAGGAATATGTTTTTTTTCTTTTGTATTCATTGTATAACAAATGTAGGATCACATTCGAGAGTTATTTTTGATGTGATGAAGTGACATTATATTAATACACGTATAATAATCACAAAAAACTCACGAGTGAGTGAGTATGGGCAGGCCACAGGTTCGGGTGCGTGTACATAAAACACTCTCTCTATCTTATGTGACATCTCCCTCAACCAGTCTTCTGGTGAGTCCTAATCTTCATGCTAACAAAGAAGTCCATAAACATATCCCTATGTGTTTATTTCTCTCCATTACTATAAGAGAGATTAATCTTATATCTCTATCTCTAACCCTTTTTTTTTTTTTTTTTTTTGTGAATCTTTATCCTATTATTAATATTTATCTTATTGGTAATAAAAACAAAGCTTTAATTTCTTGTCTCTTAATCTCTCTATCTCAACCTTTTTTTTTTTTGTGGATCTTTATCCTATTATTAATATTTATCTTATTGGTAATAAAAACAAAAGGAAAGCTTTGATTTCTTGTCTCTTTCCGCCACTTTCTAAAATTCTAGGGAGTAGAAAAGCAGAGAATCCTCTCTCTAAATCAAGAGTTCAATTACTTGGGAAGCCGGATGGTGAAGTACAATATTACTTTAACATGAATTACTTTGGAGACAGGCTTGTTTTAGAGCAGCAAGTGAGTCGAATAACTATTTGGCAATTTTCATTCTTTTCTTTTTTTTTTTTTTTCCCTGTTCGTATATTGCTTGGATGATCTTTAGTTTTTTCAGGTTCCCTTCTTGCTAGCCTTTTTAGTTTCTGTTTTTCATGTACATTGCAGTTAGTCTTAGTGGTTGTTTAGGCAAGACTGGGATTTTGACTGCTTTTTTTTTTTTTTTTAACATATTCCCACTCTCAGGTTTTTCATGTACATTCCGAGAGGATTTCGGGTTCGAGGGCATGAAGAGCCTCTCTCTCTCGCCTTCAGACCGTCTGACCTCGAGGAGGTGTGCCATTTGACAAGGAAGGGTTCTTTTGAAGAGGACAAGACCTTCTGTGCTTTTGCTAGGAGATTGGCTCAAGTCGATCGCATGTAGGGAATGATGTGTCCATTCCATGATTTGGATCAACACAATACATCTTAAATTAGTTTAAGGGGGGAATAATGATATTATCACTGTTGCCGCGATCTAAGTGTTTAGTTAGATCGATTGACTGGTTCCGGTTTTGGGCATTTTGGCAATTTTGGCAATCGATTGGTATTTAAAAAAAAATTCAAGAAAATATATATAAATTTTAAAAAATAAGGAATTGTTTTGTAATGTATTTCTTTACATTATGGTAAAGATTAAAAATTGTTTTGGTCCTACTTTTTATATTTTCCGATCTTTTTCAGAAAATTTGAAAAATACTGCTAGGCACAATTCGATTCGTTAAAATCTATTTTTTCATTAATTTTCAACTACATTTTATTGTGTTTTGTTTTAATCATTTTTTATATACTTTTCATACTTTAGTATATATATTTTTGTATCTTTTTTATTTTTTCAACACTTTTTTGAAGGTTCAGGATTTACTCGGTTAGAATAGTTGAATTGGCCAATTTACCGATTAGGTCGGTTAAACCGTTTCCGGCCCCATGTGCAGTTAACCGTTGGGGTTCGATTTTGCTTTACGAATGCTGCCATGAACAGACATCAGCAATTTAGTAACTTCGTACGTATTTATAATTCAAATCTTTAGAATCTCTCAGTGGATTATGAAAAGGGTGCAGTTAGAGTGAGGCCGGTGCATTATGTTAAAATGTAATTTTGGCTTTGGGAACCCACCCCTACATGGCTTGATAATTTATTTCCGACAATGGGCGATAATTTATTTCCGATGAGCGTTAGTATTGTAATACTTAAAAACAAATGTTTGGAAAATAGGGCGATCTAATTGCTTGGTTAGATTGGAACCTGCCATAGGCCGGTTCCGGTTTTGCATAGTTTTGTTGATCAATCGGTATATAAAAAAAAAATTAAAAAAATGTATAAAAATCCATAAGAGTCTTTGGGGTTGAAACGATCGATTAGATGGTTCTTCTAAGCCTAGTAACTATATTTTTTTAATAAGTTTAGGAGTAATAAGTTTTTTTGAGGTTCGACTTTACTTTTAAGGTGAAGCCTAAGCCCTAAATAAATATTTTCCTTGAGTAATTGTACTATATTAATGAAAAATATGGTATTCTTTCTCTCTTCTCCTCAACTCATTTGGAGAGGAACTAGTGTTCTCTCATTTCGTTTCTTAAAATTTTCTATTCGTTTTAATATTGTAAACAGTGTTGGAAAACCTGGATTGGCCGGGCAGATCTGTCTCCGGAAAACTGATCCGTTTTGCCGATCTGGGTTTTCAAACACCATTATAAACACTGAATGCTAGTTTAGGGAACCGTTAAAAATGATCCAACGTTCCCATCTAAGAAAGCATGGTCAGTTTTATCGAGTCTCTTAGCCCATCAATCGAGTTCCTAGATTTTTCATATATTCGGGAGGTGATTGTGTATTTGGCTTGATCCAACTCGGTTGCGGTAGTTCATATGGATTCACCGGCAATTTTGATTTGTAGGGGTTCTCGAGCTACGGACATGGCCATAAAGACATCTATTATTATACTAATTTGTGCTGCAGGGGCAACCAATCAAGCTATGGTTAGGTTTTGTATTTCATTTTCAACATATCTATAATTGTTTTTAGTTTAAATGTAAACAAAAATTATATACATGTATATTGAAAGTTTGAGGTCAGTGTTCTAGGTGACCACTATAGTCACCATCCAATTGCATATATTGAATCAGGGTTGATCGATCTAATGATAATGATTGTATTTTGTATTTGAATTTTAATATTTTTATAAATTAAATTCACTTGAAATTTTGAGTGTGTATTTTAAAAAAATTGGCGAATCTAATAAACATATTAAAAAAATAATTTATAAAAGATAGACCAAAATACCTTTGAAAATTAGAGGGATATTTTGATCAATTTAGTTCTTGTGAATAATTTTTTAAATTTGTTTATTTAATGTGTCTTGATGAAAAGAGGGGACGATACAAATTGCAAGTGATTTATATTTGTAGAAAAAAATTCAAATATGAAATACAATTTAGATCAGCCCATATTCAATCTGAGCCGTTAGGCTTATACTATTTCATCAACTAGTGGGCTAATAAGATATTTTCCCATATAAGTAATCATGCGGGAGGGGACACACTTCTATGATGGATGGTGTCCCTTGACGCGTTCAACATCCATCTTGTTAGTAGATGATAAAATTCATATTATTAAAATAATATTAGAAAGAAAAAAATCTCCTTTCTATTTTTGGGGTTCCTTTTTTTCTTTATCCAAATTTCTACTTATCATATTTTCATTTCCTAAAATGTTAATTCCTAGGAATGGACTCAAGTATTGGTGGTCACGGTAAAAGATGTCAATATGATATCTTGAGTTTCAC